CCTCCTGCCCCCTCCCCCCCCACCCCTTACAGGACAGGCCTCTCACTTGCTCAACTGCTTCCAGCGCTGAAAGAAATCCTGAGAAGCCATTTCTGTGGGCTGGAAAAACTTGTTCAGTGTGATGGGCAGCTTAACGGACACATTCTGAAAGGTGCCCCCATACCTATGGGCCACAGAGATGTATTGAAAAGAATAAAGGGACAGACAGAAGCTCCTAGCTTGCAAGTCTTCAGAGAACAGGAAAGTGCCACATTTGTAAGGCTGTCCCCACCATCAACGAGAGCCCAGTGTGTTCTTTAAGGGGGACTGAGCCACAAACCCCCACAATCAAGATGTCTGGTGCATCACACCACATGCAGCCTAGTGTGCAATCTCATTCGCAGATAAGAACTGTGCTGTGCTGAGGGTGGGGACAAGCCCCTCCCCCTCCTCGCTGGGACACCCCACTCAGGACTCCCGCCACCGCTTCACTTGTCCCTGTCAATCTGTTGTCCAGAACTCCAAGTCTGTGTAAATTGCGTGGGGTGTTTGTTTTTTCCATGAGAAGACTAAAGAATAGCATTTTCTTACAGAATTAAACAAAATTTGTACATCTACCTCCCTAAATTCTACAAAGTACACAATCTTAGGTTCTGTGTATTTTTATTATTTGAAAATGTGCTTCTCCAAATATTTTAACTCCATGAGCACTGATAGAGTTTGGACGTGTTGTCCCCACCAAGACTCATGTGGAAATCTGATTCTTGATGTGGCAGTGTTGGGAACTGTTTGAGTCATGGGGGTTGATCCCTCATGAATGGATTCATGCTCTCCCTGAGGGAAGGGGACCTGAGTGAGTTCTCACTCTATTAGTTCCCACGAGAGCTGGATGTTTAAAAGACCCCGGCACCTCCTCTCTCTCTCTTGCTTCCTCTCACCATGTGATCTGCTCGTACCCACCAGCTGCCTGCCATTTTCCGCCAGGAGTAGAAGCAGCCTAAGGCCCACACCAGATGCAGCTGTCCCAGAATCATGAGCCAAATAAACCTCTTTTCTTTATAAATACCCAGTCTCAGGTGTTCTGTTATAGCAACACAAAACTGACTAATACAGGAATCCAGCAGGGAACTGGATAACTATATACACTCCTTTGTAGTCATTGAGAAATGACATTAATGGCATTATTAATAAAGAGCTCAGAAAAAAAAAAGAAAAATGATATTAACAAACAGTCACACCACCACTTATGTCTTTAAAAATAAGCAAAATACCGTGTATCGTCTGAGTATAAGGATACAGAAACACACACCCTGGGCCAGGGTCTGGAGGGTGCAGCCACCAGCACTCTGTAGCTCTCTTTCAACTGGCTGCCCCCAGCCTGTGGGTGGGCTCCTCAGCGTGAAAGCACTGGGCTCAGAAAGGTCCCCCGGCAGCCACCAATGCCATTCCTGCTCACTTCTCCCCTCCTGTCCTGAACTCTGAGGGTACAGTGCCCAGCATGCACCAGTATGAACTACATGTACTCCATGACCTGGAATGCATGGACAGCTCTTACCTAAACTGAATGTTGAGGACTGGTGCCTCTGTGAAGTCGGACACACACTCTATGTTGACCACCTGCTGCACCTGTGCACCCCCGTCCACAGTGGGGTCCACTGGCTTGGTCTGCAGGTTCAGATGTGCGCATGTTAAGGAGTCCAGACCAACTCTAGGAAAGCAGGCCCAGTCAAGCGCAGTGGGCAGCTGGAGGTGCTGGGCCCCCAGTCCCAGCATGACCTACGGAGGTGAGCACATGCCCCACACCGGACATGGGCCCCACACGTCCCAGCCCTGCCTTTCCACCCATGCTATGCCCCACGTGCCCACACAATCCACCAAACACTACTTGTAATCTCACTATTCCCAAAAATGACCCCTTCTTTGTAAAAAGTCACTTAGATTATATATTGGCTATTTTACTTATTTGTTTTGATTTTATGAAACTCATAAAAGTCTGGTACTTACATATAGGTTTTTGTCATTAGCAGAAACTAGAACTCAGTATTATAACCAGACAATTTTTAAGAATTCTAGGAACGGGCTTCTGAGCACTATGTGAATCAGAAAAAAATCTGCCGTATTCTGACCAATGTTTATCTTTATGCTGACAAAGGGCTTGTCTATGGCCACCCTGAAGAAACAACCTTTGTAACCAAGGCTGGATCCTTCTCTCCTTCCCTCCAGACCATGTGCCCACCAGCCATTCTGTGCCATCCCCTGGCCCCGCAGAGCCCAGTGAACTCCAGAAGAAGAGACATCTACAAGGGGACTCTGTGGGAGTCACAGCTTATGCTCCTGCTCTTGGACAAAGACTCTAATACAATTGATCCTACATATGTGTATTTTTAATGACTATCTTGAAATACTTTAATAATCTGTGTTTAATTGTGTTCACCTTAAAATAAACCCAGATCTGGTCCGTGGTAAGGTGGTTACTGCTCCACTTATGTCTACAAATCCCAAGGGAAGCGTCACAGTCTGTGGTCAAGCTGGGGCCCTCCTTACCCTGACTGGATTTGCTGGTCCTATCCTTGGAGGAAGGGGTATGTGGACAACAGAGCTGACACCAGCTTTTCCATCTTTAGCTGGACAAGCTCTAGGGACAGTTCTGATATTTATTAAGGAACAAGCCTTCAGGCTGAACGAAGAGTCGCCAGGGCAAGCACAAGCCTTCCCGAGTACACGGATGGCAAGGGCCCCGGCTGTGAGACTTCACACACCCGAGACCAGGGCTCAGACGGGACTTCCGGGTGACGTCATGCGAGAACAAAATGAGCTGAGAAAGAAAGAGACTCAAACGAGCCAAATGAGACCGACGTGTGCAATTCCAGATGCGCCATCAAAGGCCAGCTCTCGGATGGTGGGCCGCCTGACCTACTGCAGACACCTCGCTATTGCGACTGAAGCAAAAAACCAAGAAAAACCTTCCCAAAGGCTTCCTCTGGATCCCCAATGACATCTGTGGGCATGGGGGAAATGGAGCCAAGGATATCAGACTGCAGGTCATCTGAACAGATTAGTGTCGGAGTAAAACTCAAGAACTGTGTGGAGGTCTTGTTACCATAAAATATAAACATCCGACCTAGAAGGAAACAAAAACAGTTTATTTACACACTTCATTTCGCTTATCCTGAATAACAGTGAAAAACAAAACAGCCCCTATAATCGCAGTTAAATTTAAGGTTATTATTGTTAATGACGGACTGTTGTTACAATTAAGAGCAAATTTTTTCTAGTTTTAAAAATAACATGCCAAAGTTGGAAACAGGGATCATTAATCGTTGTATCTCTCAGGGGCGACTCTTACCCTGCCCTTCTCCTACAGCCTCCTTCTCCATGCCACATATGGATGGGTGGGACCACACACGTGTGGACAGGGAAGAACCCATGGGGCACCTTCTCCAGGGAAATCACGATCACACTGGCCTCTGCTGGTCCTGCCCTGCGACTGCAACACGCAGACACAGACCTGACTCCACTGCCTCCTCCTAGGGTGGCCTGGCTGAACCTGCACCCACTAGCCACACAGTGTGGCTGCTGTCCAGGTCGGGTGGGAACTGTCCTTCAAAAACAATGCACTCTGAGCCCTCACTGCGACCGCCATTGTCTATGTGCAAGCACACACTCAGGATGTCCCACTGTTCCCGATTATTTATATCACAATAATTTATCTTTACATAAATCTTTGTGAATATTTTACATCCTTTGAATTCAGGAAAGAAAGTAAACTTGACATATTCTGAAAAGGACAGGCAGTTTGGCATCACTCCTCCCACAAACTAAAAACCAAAATCCGAAACCTAGGTGAAGTCATCATTCCCACAGGAATACAGTGTAACCCCTTCTCAACAGAACATGTCCCTGAGTTAATTCTGTTCCTCCTCCTCATGTCCCTGAAAGGTCCCTGGAGAGTGGGTGTACTCTTTCCCTTTTTTTTTTTCACGGGAGTCCTCGCAAGGCTCAAGGAGGGTGCCCTGGGAGCGAGGGGGCATGTAGGACTCAGGAGGGGCCCACAGCAGCAGCAGCTCCAACGGTTTGGTGGGCATAATTTTTTTTTTGACTCAAAAGCTGTTTTCCTTCTCTTTTTTTAAATTGTGATAAGGTATACATAACATTTACCATCTTGACCATTTTTAAGTGCACAGCTCAGTGGCATTAAGCATATTCACAGTGCTCTGCGGCCATCACCGTCATCCATCTCCAGAATCCTCATCTTCCCAAACTGAAGCTCTGTCCCCATTAAACACCAGCTCCCCATCTGCTCCCCAGTTTCTGTCTCCGTGGATCTGACGACTCTAGGGACCTCATATGAGTGGAATCACATAGTGTTTGTCCTTTTGTAACATGTTTATTTCACATAGCATAGTGTCCCCAAGGTTCATCCATGTTGCAGCATGTCAGAATTTCCTTCCTTGTTAAGGCTGAATAATATTCCACTGCGTGGATTGACAACATTTTCCTCACTCATCCATCCGTCAGTGGACACCTGGGTGGCACCCGCCCACTTCTTGGCTGTTGTGAATGATGCTGCTGTGAACCTGGGTGTGCAAACACCTCTTCAAGACCCTGCTCTCAATTCTTTCGGGTCTAGCCCCAGAAGTGGAATTGCTGCACAGGACAGTAACTCCATTTTTAACTTTCTGAGGACCCACCATATTGTTCCCACAGCAGCTGCACTGTTCACAGTCCCATCAGCAGTGCACAGGGGCGCCTGTCTTTCCACATCCTCGCCAGCGCTTGTCGTTCTGTTTTACAACGGCCACCCTAACGGGAATGGGCAGTGCTCACTGCAGTTTTCATTTGCTTTTCCCTAATGACCATGATGTCCCGCATGTCTTCATGTGCTCTTGACCTCTGTGTATCTTCTCTGGAGAATGTCTGTTCAAGTCCTTTATAGGAGTTCTTTATACATTCTGGATTTTAATTCTTTACCAATATGTGATTTGCAAATATTTTCTCATTATTTCCCATTAATTCCTCAGTTTTCATTAAGTAATTAAAATACATACCTAAATTCTGCCGAAATTCAGACTTAAGTCCAATTTGAAGCAGCTGGTTTTCAAACAACACACCATTATTTTTACAAACGAACCTGGAAGAAAAGAGACAGCAGTGTGTCACTTTAAGCCACCCACTGGAAACACAAGGGTTCGCTTTGAAAAAGGGTTTCAAGCACACTAAGGCAGAAAAATCTCTTTGGGGCATGAGGGAAGAAAAAGTAGAAAAACATTCCAAAGACCATCACAGCAAGAGGCCACTAGAGAAGGAAGAGAGTCAAAAATAGTGACGTAGAGTGTCCCAACGAGGCCTGGGGGTGGCTGAACCACAGCTCATGGTGTCTCGTGGATACAGACAGGACAGGGCATGAACCACACATGCACACACACTTTCTGGTAAGACCCACAGACTCCATCCAACACGGGCACTGAACTTCCACCCAGGTGAGGACCCTCGCAGCGCTCCCTCCCCTCCGACTCCCCTCCTTAAACAGTGCTACTAAGCTGCACAGGGAGCCCAGGGGGTTGTTCACTACAGGACATCTACACTACATGGAACTAGAAGAAATAAAACAACCTATGTTAGTTTTCACTCATGTTTATCTCAGAAGAGCTTGAAGTTTTCTTCTCTAACATAAATTACAAATACACAGAGAATGGGCACCAAAGGAAAGGAGAGGGAGGTGGGCCGGTTCATATGCCGCCGGGGCAAGGGCTTCCCCGGCAGGTACAGCTCAGGAATGAGAGGACTGGGATGAGGAGGTGGGGCCCAAGGCAGCACATAGGGGCGCAGCCCACACCTCAAAAACCCTGCATCGGTGTACGCGAACTCAGAGGAGATCAAGACCCATGACACCAGTGCCCTCCTGTCCTTCCTAACTTTACTGCAAGTGCCCACCCTGCGAGACCAGTTCATCAGCATTGTGAGCACTTCCAGCTGGGTCCTCAGAAATTAGCTCCGCTGCCGCCAGGCTGGGGCTGCCTCAAGCAACACAGGAAGATGACACCCGTGACAGAGGCAGTGAGAGCCACGGTCGGTGAGACAGGCAGGCTTCAGCTGGTGCAGCCCTGCTCCTCTGCCTCAGGCTGTGGCACCCCCACACACATATCCTCGGAGGCCACAGCTGCCCTCTGCCTCTTCTGAGGCCACCCCCAACAGACTACCTATCCCGTGTTAGCCATACATGAAGCTTCACAAAGCCAGAGGCAGTCTGTACAATACGCAGAACAGTTTTCCCAAACACATCTTAGAACACGTGCTACTGTATTTCACCTGGAACTTAGCACAACGGACAACCATTCCATAACACGAGTGGCCAGGAGAACCCCCTGCTCCAGGGTCACTGCTCCACCCACCAGCTGCAACTCCATGGAAGGGGCCAGTGCAGGCACCAGGCCATGGAGCTGACACACTTGATTTGGACTAAACCACTCTAAACTGGAGTCTGTCAAGGACATGGGTGGGGGCTGATGATGTATCACCCATTGCATGACAGAGAAATCCCTGCAGCCTCCATCCCCAGCAACCTCAGTGGCTGAGCTTGCCCCACAGTACTCTGTCCTTCCACTCTGTCCCAGATACACCTCACACACCTGACTACCCTTTGTAGCCCGATGAAGGCCAAGACGGCCAAGCGCCAGCACATGCTGGAGTGCTGAGAAACCTGCCAAGTCCCACAGGAGACTGTGCCAATACTGGGCCTCCAGAGCTGCCCAATGTGAGGAAAGAGCAGGGGCCACGCACCACTTCCAGAACAGCCACACAGGCCAAGACGGCCAAGCGCCAGCACATGCTGGAGTGCTGAGAAACCTGCCAAGTCCCACAGAAGACTGTGCCAATACTGGGCCTCCAGAGCTGCCCAATGTGAGGAAAGAGCAGGGGCCACGCACCACTTCCAGAACAGCCACACGGAGAAGAGGCAAGTGTGGGAGGGCTGTGCCCAGGAAGGGAGGGGCCTCAATGCTGTCGGGGCTGCCATCTATTCGTCCCCTCCTCCCTCATGTACTCCACCAGCTGCCCCTTAGGGCCACCTGGGAAGCCCAGCCACTGGGACGTTACCAAAGCCCCCGGAGGACGTGCAGACACAGCAAAGGCTAAGAGTGCCCAGTGAGGCCCCTGCCCTGCCAGTCTCCACGAAGACCACCACCCAGACCAGGGCCTCCAGCGTGGGGCCCACACCCTCCCCAGGACACACAGCAGCTTCCACTGCGAGGGCCTTAGAAGCTGGGTTCTCAAACTCAGAAATTTGAAAAGCAGTAGGAAGCCTGCTTTCAGTCAGAGCAAGGCAACCTGCACCAAAGCCAAAACTGTGCTGCAGACACCTCTCATTCCTGAGCCATTTTTCAACACATGACAGGAACGGGAATTAGTATGCAATATGAACACAAAGGATGAGGAAGCTCGAAGCCACGAGAGTTCTCACTCTGCTTGAGTCTTCAAAGCTGGGGACATAGGGCCATTCCTCGCAGACGTTCTAATCCCCACCCAGGACAGAGGCGTGCATCCGTGCTTCCACTCTGCAGGGCGGGCAGGTGAGGGGGACTGGTTCAGGAGAGGGGACCGGATGTGAAAGCAGGAGAGACGGGGTGAGAGACAGACAGCAGGAGGGAAACACACCATTCGAAAGAACAAGTGCTGGGGACAGCAGTCTGGCACTTCTGTTTTGAAAGTGGGAGGAAACAGGGAGTGAAGACGCCTGAGCAGAGACCTCTGTGCACAGGAAGCCAGGACACGCTGACATGTCTGAGGAGAGTCAGGGCAAAGAGAGGACAAGGACAGGCAGAGCATGGCCACAGGAAGAGGACCAACACAGGCTGCAGAGGACAGGCTTGTGGGACAAGTGAACAGTTCAGTAACTAAAGAGTGTTTCTTTAAAAAGAGGAGGCAGACAAGGATGTGATGGTTTGAGTCAGAGCTGAACGCAGCTGGACTAGAGAGGAGGGTAAAGGAAAGAAAACTACCACCATGACGGGCGTCAATCACACACTCTAAAAAGAACAAATAGCCAAAACGACACGACCAGACCTCTCCACACACACAGACACGACTGACAACCAGCCCGGGGGCTTGTTTTTACCTTACTTTCCTTCTGGAGCATGAGAACTGTCTTCAGCCAATGAAGACTAGCGATCTACAAAGGTCTGGGGAGCACTGAGCAAACCCTCCCACAGCACGGCAGCCTCCACGGCCTCTGCCAAGTAGTGCCCAGGAGGCAAACACCACTGCCCACTCTGTCCAGCTGACCGTGGGCCACGCCCGAAGCCAGGAGGGCCCTGCCTTCAGGACTCAGGAGACCTGACTACCTGGCAAAGTTGTCTTCGGAGCCAGGAGCAAGAGGTGCAACTGCAGAAGCCGAGTCTGAGAACACGTCCACGAGCAGCCCGCCGCCAGAGGAGGGTGGGGGGCCCGTGGGGGCAGGGGGAGCAGACCCCAGACCCAGCAGGTCTGCCGACGGAGAAGGCGTAGACTGGAAAAGAAGGAAGGAGAGTGTCAACGTGGAACCTTTCTGGCACAGCCAACTCCAAGGACACTCGAGTGCATGTGGCCTCTCCCCACATGGTGTCCACAGGGTTCCAGTGGCCAGGGAGAGCTGCTGAAGGGTCAATGGGCAGCCTGGAGACTTGCTGACCAGGAAGTGAGGACTCACAGCCATTTTCTGAGAAGCAAGTACACCCAGAGTCCAGCCTAAAGATAATTACACTTAAAGATTAGTCACACTTCCCACACTAGAAGAATAGCCTTCATTTTCACAGATGCTATTACAATGAAAAAAAGTTCTGAAAAAAATTTTGCCATGGAAGAGATCAAAAAGAAATATATGGTTTAAGAATAAGACCACACCAATTACTACTGTCAAGTGTCCAAAAAGAAGTAAGCTAAAAAGATGAAAAAGTAATAAGGAAGTAACTTATCAGAGGTGCATTTTTAGTTAATTGTTAAGTTTTATACAAAAGCTTGGGGTGTCGTATAACTTCGTATAATGTATGCTATACGAAGTTATTACGTCCACAGGGTTCCAGTGGCCAGGGAGAGCTGCTGAAGGGTCAATGGGCAGCCTGGAGACTTGCTGACCAGGAAGTGAGGACTCACAGCCATTTTCTGAGAAGCAAGTACACCCAGAGTCCAGCCTAAAGATAATTACACTTAAAGATTAGTCACACTTCCCACACTAGAAGAATAGCCTTCATTTTCACAGATGCTATTACAATGAAAAAAAGTTCTGAAAAAAATTTTGCCATGGAAGAGATCAAAAAGAAATATATGGTTTAAGAATAAGACCACACCAATTACTACTGTCAAGTGTCCAAAAAGAAGTAAGCTAAAAAGATGAAAAAGTAATAAGGAAGTAACTTATCAGAGGTGCATTTTTAGTTAATTGTTAAGTTTTATAAAGTTATAGGGGAAAAAAATAGGTAAAAAGTCTACAGAATGGGTATTTTTAAAAAAATAATTGCCTTTTGGCAGAAGCACAGGAAAAGAGCCACTATGAAATACTGTTACACTCACTCTTCAGACACAACAGCACAGTTGCCTTTTGCCATGGCAGAGACACCGGTGGCCACAAGGTAGGAGCTTGGCTCTGCTCTGGGCACTGTGGTCCTGCCAGCCAACGGCTGTGCACCAGGAGGACCCGCTGCACCTTATGACACTCACACTTGGACGGCTCTTAGTGGCAGAGACATCCCACCCCACAAGGGGCATCCTAGAGATGTGGAGGTTTGGTGGTCACTATGATTACAGGATACTATTGGCTCTTCAGTCAAAAAACCAGAGATGTGACATATCCTGCCTTAAGACTCATCTTGAATGACTTTTGAATGTTCCACTGGACATTCATGAAAGTAAAAAATCAGTTTGCATTATCTGAGATTACATCCCAATGCCATCTTACAACGTGTATTTTGCTCAGTTTGCTGATTCTTCCAAGAATGAAACCACACTGTGAACTGAGAGAAGGCGGTGCTTTCTGCAGCACAAAGAAATACCAGCAGTGGGCACTGGCCCTGTCCTCTGGCCCCTGNAGCAGCCCGCCGCCAGAGGAGGGTGGGGGGCCCGTGGGGGCAGGGGGAGCAGACCCCAGACCCAGCAGGTCTGCCGACGGAGAAGGCGTAGACTGGAAAAGAAGGAAGGAGAGTGTCAACGTGGAACCTTTCTGGCACAGCCAACTCCAAGGACACTCGAGTGCATGTGGCCTCTCCCCACATGGTGTCCACAGGGTTCCAGTGGCCAGGGAGAGCTGCTGAAGGGTCAATGGGCAGCCTGGAGACTTGCTGACCAGGAAGTGAGGACTCACAGCCATTTTCTGAGAAGCAAGTACACCCAGAGTCCAGCCTAAAGATAATTACACTTAAAGATTAGTCACACTTCCCACACTAGAAGAATAGCCTTCATTTTCACAGATGCTATTACAATGAAAAAAAGTTCTGAAAAAAATTTTGCCATGGAAGAGATCAAAAAGAAATATATGGTTTAAGAATAAGACCACACCAATTACTACTGTCAAGTGTCCAAAAAGAAGTAAGCTAAAAAGATGAAAAAGTAATAAGGAAGTAACTTATCAGAGGTGCATTTTTAGTTAATTGTTAAGTTTTATAAAGTTATAGGGGAAAAAAATAGGTAAAAAGTCTACAGAATGGGTATTTTTAAAAAAATAATTGCCTTTTGGCAGAAGCACAGGAAAAGAGCCACTATGAAATACTGTTACACTCACTCTTCAGACACAACAGCACAGTTGCCTTTTGCCATGGCAGAGACACCGGTGGCCACAAGGTAGGAGCTTGGCTCTGCTCTGGGCACTGTGGTCCTGCCAGCCAACGGCTGTGCACCAGGAGGACCCGCTGCACCTTATGACACTCACACTTGGACGGCTCTTAGTGGCAGAGACATCCCACCCCACAAGGGGCATCCTAGAGATGTGGAGGTTTGGTGGTCACTATGATTACAGGATACTATTGGCTCTTCAGTCAAAAAACCAGAGATGTGACATATCCTGCCTTAAGACTCATCTTGAATGACTTTTGAATGTTCCACTGGACATTCATGAAAGTAAAAAATCAGTTTGCATTATCTGAGATTACATCCCAATGCCATCTTACAACGTGTATTTTGCTCAGTTTGCTGATTCTTCCAAGAATGAAACCACACTGTGAACTGAGAGAAGGCGGTGCTTTCTGCAGCACAAAGAAATACCAGCAGTGGGCACTGGCCCTGTCCTCTGGCCCCTGTCCCAGCCTCAGGGCATTTCAGCTTTATATTAAGTTAGGGTGTAGCACTGCTTTTTTGGAAAATTACATGTGTAGATATGTGATATTATGCATGACTTTTACTTCGAGATAAATAAGACATTACAAAATATGTGTTATGCAAAGAGGGTGTGAGTCTGAGCCAGAGAGCCCCACAGCCTACCCCAGGCTTCCCAGGTGCCAGGCGAGGCCCAAAGACAAACCTGGCGAGGCAAAGCAGGTTTCTGCTAGGGGCCAGTGGCTCCAAGGGGGGTGTGAGGGGGTCAAAGACAGGGCAGGCTCCTGGGCTCTGCTCTTGTGACTGCGAACCTCTGTAAGAGGGGGCCCCAGAGGGTTGCAGAGGAGCTGGCGAGAGAAGATACTGGAAATGTCTGAAGTGGGAAGTATACAGATGAAACCATCAAAAGGCAGTTTTCTGCCTCCTCCACACCTGAGGCTGATCTAATTTGAATACACACTCTACCATTTTACTAATCATTTTATCACCAGGATTGTAGGGGACTGAATGTCCCCCCCGAAACTCACTGAAGCTTGAATTGTGTCCCCCATGTTTATGTATTAGAAACCTGGCCTCCACTGTGACAGTCAAGAGGGTGGAAATCCTATTATGGTAACTGAAAGGTGGAGCCTTAAAGAGCTGATTAGATTGTAGGACCGTGCAGGAGTGAATGGATTAAAAATGGTGGTCAGGGGCGTGGTTCTAAGGGCGTTAAAAAGAGAGTAAATGCTGCTTTCTGTTCTCTCTCTGCTTCCACCATCGTGCAATGTGAGACCCCTGGGTCACTGCTGCCACCTCCAAGGCCTTCACCAGCTGTGTCCCCTGCACTGTATACTTCCCAGCCTCCAAAACCGTAAGCAATAAATTTTTTTTCTTGATAAATCACCCAGTTCCTGGTATTTTGTAATAAGCAACAGAAACGGACTAATACAAGGAGTGTGACCACCTGAGGGGCTACAAGAGCTGTGAATTATGCAAGAAAGTCATCTTCTTAGGATACACCTGCAGCCTGAATGGGGCTAATTCCTCCTCAGCCACTTATTCAAAGATTTTTACCACTGGTTCCTGATTAACGGTTCAAATATATCTGTGGTTTCAAACTCCTTTTAAAGTAGGTAACCCCTTTTGTCCAATTAAATAAAACATATGCCCCAAAAGTTACAAGAGGCTGCAAGCAAGTCTGCTCTGTGGGGAGGACCTTGCAGGCCAGCGGTTCAAATATATCTGTGGTTTCAAACTCCTTTTAAAGTAGGTAACCCCTTTTGTCCAATTAAATAAAACATACGCCCCAAAAGTTACAAGAGGCTGCAAGCAAGTCTGCTCTGTGGGGAGGACCTTGCAGGCCAGACACAACACCCCCCACTGTCCCTTCACCTCCTCTTCTCTTTTTGAGCCTGGGGACATCGCTGGTGCCCAGACTGCACAACTTACACCTCCTCCCTGAGACAATACAACAGCAGAAATTAAGACAGCAAAAAGCACCCTGTACAAAGACTTAACCTATGAGGGCTCCAGGCTCCTCCACTGGAGGTCAGGACACCTGCGGTGCTTCACTGGGCCCTTCCAATGCACACCCCTAGGAAGCCCTAGCCACAGGATGTCAAGAGCCCAGCCTGCTCCACATGTGCAAGGGGAGCAGAGTTTTGCTAAGAAAAACAATGCTCTGGCATCATCTATGATCTTAAGTAAAAGACATCTTGGCCAATATTACACCAAAATACAACATAACAATGTGTTTCATGTAAAATCCAGACATGTCATCACCCCCTCGAGGTGGTGCCTCCCCTCCCAAGCTAATCCCAGAAAGATCTTGAGAAGAATTTAGCCAAGAGTGACACCTCCCCTTCTGTCCTGCTCCTCCTTCCTCAACCCCCAGCCCACCACTGGTGTCTGCCCCCTGTCCGTCTTCTGAGCACTGAGGATAGCATGTGGCAGAGACCTCAGGGCTCTCTACCCCAGACATCACTTACGGAGCCTCCACTCGCTAGGCACCATCTACAGTCAGAAAAGAGGTGTGCCACTTAAAGTCAGGAAATTCACTGAATTAACCTTGAAGAGGGCTCACTGCCAGCAATGCGCCCAAACGCAATGTTGAGTCTTGCTGACCCCTCAGCCGCCTTTTCAGAGGACAGCACACGGCTCACATCCAGGAGCAGGAAGGTTCCTCCTGACTCCTGCTAAGCCACTTAGCCAAGCACCAGATCCTACAATCCAGGCTCACCTCAAAGTCCATCCTGAGCCTAGGTGAGCAGACCTGGGTGTAGCAGGCCTGCAGCACGTGTGCACCTTACTTCTCAAATAAGTACCAAATAAAGACGGGCCAACAACAACCGTCAAAACCGCTGTCAAAGTCCCCTTCCGTGCTCCCGTAAGCATGCTCCTCTTAGAGTCAGAGCAGCTGGAGAGGAATGAGAGCGCCTAGAGCCTTCCTAGGCTAAGGCGAGCAATCACAGTGTTTCTTGGAAGGCTTCATGGTGACTTTGCTCAAAGCCAGCAGTTAGGAAGCCCTGCACGCCAGCCTCCCACAGTTCCTCCAGACACCTCTGCCTCTTGCTTGGGATGACATCTTCCTCTCTGCAAGGTGGAGCTGCCACCATTTCGCCCTGGCATGGGCCCCACAGAAGAGCCACTGCCCAGTGCCCCTGGGAAGGCCCTGCCCCAGTGCAGCACAAACATCAGTTCAGACAAACCTTCACGTGTGCTCCTGCTCTGGAAACCTGTCACTTTGCCAATTCAACCTATCAAGAAATTTTGATAGGCTAGGATGACCTTCATGACCTCTTCAAAACCAGAATGTCAAGATGTCTGAAAGCGAGGCAGATGGATTCGAGGACTGAGGGGCAGTCGTGTACCGCAAGGCACCTGGTTACTGATACCCCACAGAACCAGCTCAAAAGCAGGTCTCTAGCACCACAGAGCATGTTAGAAAACAGTGGGAGAACATGAAAAGCTAACCCATGTACCTTACTCAGGCACAGACAGAATGGACTCTTTGGGAGAAAAAATTCATTTATCATTCATTCCAAAGCCAATTCATTATGAAATTCAAGCTGCCAGAAGCCACTAAGCATGCACCATAGGCAAACACAGCAGCGCATCAGGACAGGAGAAAGGGCCTGTGCAGGGACAGCGCCAGGGTGGGGGCGCCTGGCTGGAGGGGGAGAGGAGCCTTCTGATGAGGTGTTGGGCTCAGCCTGACGGGAGGACACATGGAGCACACAAGCAGACCCCCATCAAAAAGCACCAGGACCCAGATGTTAGCACGCTCCTGACTGGCACAGCACATGTCACTGCAAGGGCTTGTCCTGGCAAAGCGGCCCCGACACTGTTAAGCAGCTTTAATTCCTGCCACTGGAAAAGTCTAAGCTGGGGAGCCTCCTGGGGAGCGGGTGCGGTGCTAAGGGGACACAGCTGGTGTGCAGCGTGAAGCTTTGGCAGGATGGCCAGACACCTGCTTTCACAGAGTTCCAATGCAGGGAGAAAAGAAACGTAAATGCAACTCTTAAAAGGACATTTCCCACCCGACAAGTAAAATTTGCTCTCACCCAACTCAGTAGAAAACCTCTAACAGGGCAAGGCAGGTCTGTTCCACAGCAACACAGAGCACGTGGACAGGCCTCCCATGCAAGGCAGTCCCATAAGAGCGGTAGCAACCACACTCGAAACTAGCCAAGGGAGGGAGGGTGTGGAGCTGGCCTGGACTCAAGAAGACAGTGTGAAAGATGCATCTGGTAGAGATGCTGGCATCCAGGGACAGGCCAGCTGTGAGCACAAGAGTGGTCTGTGGAGAGCCCCAGGGGTGGGAGCGGGCGCCTGAGCACAGGCCTCAAGCTTGGGGCTACTGTAGGGATTATTTTTCATACTCTGGTAATTAACAAAATATTCTCCCTGACAGGCAAATGCTCTGCTGGTCCCAGATCTCAGGGCTTGGGGCCCTGACAGGGTCTGGGGCCACAGTGGGTAAAGGACCCACCACGGCACTGGCACTGGCTGGGGTGGGCTCAGGGCCCCCATTCACGTCAACACTCCTCTCCCGCTTGGTCTCCTCCAGGTCGGTCACCGTGCTCGGGCCCTTCTTCTTCTTGAGCTTTGCCAGGATGGAGGACTCACGCTCTGGGAATGGGGGCATCTCCTCCAGGACGGTTGCCTTGTTGGGAAGAACAAAGGGTGAGCGTGGTCCAGAGGCCCCTCCCACTTCAACCCTAGACAAGTGACCCTCTTGCTGGGGTGGGCGTAGGGGGCACTAGCAGAAAAGCTCTCCACAGAGCAGCAGTCTGGGACACGGGGGTGCAGGGCTGGCCGGCTGCCCACCAGGATGTCAGTGCTGGCCACGGTGCTGAGCCGCAGATACTCCACTGCCCGCTGCTGCAGCTCGACGTCCGCATTCCGCAGCTGGCTGTCACTGCGCAGCACATCTTGAATGGTGGTCTTCACCTCTGGGAAGAGGTTCACGAACTTGATGTAGGCAGACAGGAGCAGTGCGCGCGTGGGGACGCTGCACAGGTGGAACTTGGAGTGCAGCAGGTTGAACTGGATCAGAGGGCTGGGGGTGCAGAGGGGAGGAAGTGACTGTGACCTCACACATCCTTGCACACTTGGCCTGTCAGAGACCTCCTGAGTGGCCATGGCAGGGAGAGATGATAGCAAGGGCCCCTCCTCTACACCATTTCCAGTTCCAGATCGGACTGCAAATTTCCCCTCCTGACCAATCTTTACATTTTCAACTAGAATCCCTGTTTTCTGCACTGCTTGTGGAAAAAATTAAAAGACGTCGACCAGAAGAAAGTGGTTTTGCTGGACTTGAAAGTGAAGCCCAGCTTCTGCCTTGGGCTGTCAACACAGGCATCAAGGACCCTTGCCACCTTCTGCTCAGACCCCCACGCCCCACTGACCCCCACAGGGGCTCCTACCTGGACCGTGGGTCCCCGGCTATCAAGTTTCCAAACTCCCCTAGGATGTAGCCTCCCACTTTGACCAGGTTCTCGTGGCATGCTGGGGCCTGAAGAGCCTGTGAAATCATGAACAGGGTGAGCTGGCTTCGGGGGCTTCCCATCAGGGATGGGGCCAAGAAGCAGCCAAGCGCTGAGGAGGGCTCAGGGGTAAGGTGCCTCGGGCGCTTGCCTGCGGAGGGCATGTGTACATCAGTGCCAGCTTTCTCCGTAGCTTGCTGGAGCCCTGACTGCCTCCCCATGGCCACCCTCAGCAGGGCCAGCCTGACAGCAGAGACAGGGCCCACGCAAGTCTGGCTCTCGATGGGCCTCGATGGGGCTCTCTGCTCTGGGGCAGTACACACCCTCACCCCGGCATCACCCTCACCTGTGCTGGTGGAGACAGACTCCACAGCACACTCTCACACACAGAGACCACATCAAGGCTCTCGAGAGCCAAATCTATCTTACCCATGGTCTGTGGTTTGAAAATTAGGATAAAAAGCAATTGAGACCAACAAGGGGTAACAGCAGCAGAAGAGCCAGAACCTCGCAGAATGGCTAATGGGGAGCAAGAGGGGAGCCCAACAAGGCCCACCAGACACTGGGGCCTCCTGCAGCCAGGACCTGGGGCCTGCTGCTCTGCACCAAGAACCCTGCCCTTCCCTCCCACTGGCGCCCACCAGGCCATACCTCAAACACCGTCTTGGCAGCGTAGCCCTGCACGTCATCCCGGTTGATAACAATCTGGATGACACGGTACCACACCTCCTCGCTAACATAATCGCCAGCAATGCGGATCAGGTTCAAGATGGTGTCCACGTACCAGGTGTAGTCCACTGCGTACTTCTCGGCCAGGATGGCGACCTTCAGCACCTGCAGGGGACGCAGGTTAGGGCAGCTGCCCATGGCCACTGGCAGGAACAGGGGCCAGCTATCACCCAAAGGCTGCGTTAGGGCTTCAGAAGGACCTGCACATTTCTGCAAAAGCTTGGGGTGCGTGGGAAGTTTCACCAGATTCTGTATGGAGGCCACAAGCCCAGAAGGCTTATGGTTCACTGACGTAACTGAGGAAAGCTGAGATGACGTCCAGAACATGCAGAAACGCTGGGTCAAGTGTGCAGAAGAACCAAGAGCCTTGCGGCAGCTGCAAACTACCCTCAAAGAAGCCCTGTGACTGTACCCAGGCCCCACCCAGGCCAGCTCCCACCAAGAGTCCTCTCCATCACCCCCAAGCCAGCACCTTGGAGCAGCAGCTCTGCCAGACGGCCCCACCCCAGGTCCCTGGTGGTCATTCTCCTCTCACAGTTTCCTCCTGGTCTAGTTAGCCTTTCTCATGGGCTCCCCCCAAACACCAGCATCCTGGGGCCCCCACATGTCTCTCCTATCACTCTCCATGGGAGGCCCACCTGCTCGTTTATCCACCATACCCACCGGACAGCTCTGTGGCTGTCCAAAGCCACTTGTCCCCCCAAGTCATCCTCTGCTTGTACTGAGTCCTCCCTGCACAGCATACTGCACCAGAACTGCAACCAGCAGCAGCAAGACTATGCCCCCAGAGCCCCTGCCTGGAGCCTGGACCACCTGTCCATCTGCTCTGCCCCAGCCCTCACCCCAAAACTGACTCCATGACACATCCAAAGCTTCATTCCAAAACACGCTGCCTTCGAGCCCAGCACTCGCCGGCAGCCGTGCACTCAGGGCCTCCCACCCCCACACTCACCCCCACCACATACACTGTGCTAAGCTGCCTCCCGCACCCCTCCACATGCTGCCACTTCTCCTGCCCTCCCAGGGGCCTCGACACCATCGTCCTCTCTTGACCAGGTCCCCAGGACCACTGCCTCCATCCATCCCCACCCACTGTCCTGCTTACAATCCCACCGAAAGCTCCATGTGGGAAGGGAATGAGCCGGGTCCAGGTCTGAACACCCAGCTTCTAGTGCAGCCGCAAACACACACTCTGAACACCTGGCAGGAGAACAGCGGAGTGCTCACGCTGGGGCTGAAAGACAGCATCCTCTCACTCTTTGTGTGACTAAAACTGATCGGACCGGCACCCGTTCACTCACTCAAAAGGGAGTCAGAGCAAACGCTGAGCTGATGAACACTTAGACCTTAAGTCCACACAAGCGTAATAAAATTTGCCACTTCTCCTCTAAAACACCCAGGGACGGCCAGTCAGCTTGGCTGGTTAGAACATGGTGTTAGGACACCAAGGTCGCAGGTTCAGATCCCTATACCAGCCAGCCGCCATCCAGAACAAGGATAAGGAATAACGTTCCAGTGACTGCTGTCCCCAGAGCCAACCCCACCTTACCACAGGGTTGGGATTGGCCACACTGTCCCAGGGAGGCTGGAAACAAACCCCTGGCCAAAGTCACCAGGCCCCTTGCCTGGCCATACTCCAAACAAGACACACCCAGCCCCCACTCTGCCCCAAAGCTCCTCCCCGCCCCCCACTCTCCTGGAGGGCCAGCAGTCCTACCTCCACTAGGAAGCCAACCCTGACCTCTCCTCTCGGGCAGGACTCAAGCTCCTCCCCAGAGTGCCTGGCCTCATTCCATAAACGACCCCATAACCCTGAGTGTCCCCTATGCACTACCAGCCTTTCCTTCCCACACCCGCCCACAGTAATCCCAAAACCAATTGCTGCTAGCTCAGACACCACCGCTCTACAAAGTGCCCAAGGAGGCTCAAGCTACACTTTGCTCTGCAAAAGGACACATAAGAAAATGCTTTTCATACGATGGAGAGGCGCTGTCTCAGCCTCAATGAGAGGCTGTGGTCCTGGCCAATGGTGGCAGCTGATGTCTGAACATAGAGCAGCACACCGTCCTCCCCACTTGGACTCTCCCATCCACCATCATACCGACCCTGAGAGGTGGCTGAGAAGCCGGCGCCAGGCCCAAGTGTGCGTCACAAGACAGCTCAGGCCTTCTCTGTGGGCCACGTGGCTGGCAAGTCTCTCCCCTTCAGTTCTGTGTTAATTCCGTCTTTTACACAATGAGGAAGCGTTTGCTGAACTTTAACAATTTCTCAGATGTGTGCACCTACTTGCAGATGGCAAGAGTGACAGTGAAACTAAGACTACCACCTAGACAACTATGGCTCAGATTTGTTCTTTCCTAGAGATGCCACGGAGATATGAGGAAAACATGCCAAGCAAGGAAGTATTAATTCAAGGGTTCAAAATCTAAGCACAATTAAATGGAATTTTCCCCACAGCAATCTGAATTAATGCTCACCTCAAAGACCTACAATGAAAGGCCAGAGAGCCAGGGACACATGCTAAGAGTGGACATTCTAGTTGTTCTGAGGTCTGAAAGACTCTACTGAATATGCTGATTAAAAAGCTGATGGAAAGGAATCTTTTATCCCGTGTGCAGTATTTTCTCAGTCAAGCCTGTTGAACAGAGTCACAGAGCACTAAGGAGATCCTTCAGGTGGGTGGAGGATACCAACATTAATAAAGCAAATGTATTTTACAGGGCCTGACTTTTTAGAGTTGCACATAAAAATGCTTAGCTTGGGAAAAACAGAAAACTTTCCCAGTACTAAAGTCTCTGCTGTAGATTAAAAAACACAGCAAAAATGCTTGCTCTAAGGGCAGTCATCCTTGGTGCAGCTAAAGCTAATGATGGGAAAGTATGTGAGCTAAAGGCTTCAAGGCTGCTGGTTGGGGGATGTTCCTCATCTCACCTTCAGTTGTTTCTTCAAGTTCTTAGTGAACTAAGTGTTGCCATGACAATTATCTCATTGTCCTTTTTGTAACCATCTGTGTTCCTTTTCTGCAACTTTCTTGCCTGGACAATAAAAACTGGGAGAAAACCTAATTCAGGGTTATTCCTGGGAATTCTTCTGTCTTGAAAGAATCAGTCCTAGGATTAACCCCTTCTGGGCCTCTCACTGCTCTGGAGAAATAGGCTTTGAGTAATCCTTTGCATCTCCGTCACCCAGGGAGAGGTGACAAGGTGAGACCCTGCCTGCAGCAGGTGATGACATGTGGCTGTAGAACTTACAATCTCCTCTCGGATGGAGTAGTCAGCCGTCTCCAGGTAGCTCAGCATCTCGGCCACAATCTGCTGGGCGCTGCTGCGGTCACACATGGCGTAAAGGAGGTCCACCGCCCGCTGCCGCACACTCACGTCCCGCTCCGTCTGGGGATGAGGCACATAGTAATTGGCTGCACAAGCAAAGCCCATGGACAGGTGTTGTCCACTGCAGTCCACGGTGCCACATGCTCCGTGGGAGCTGCTTCAGGCTGCCCTGTGGTCCTGACCAGGAGCCCTGCTGTCTTGATACATGTGCTAAGCCCCCTTCCTTGCTCTGTGCGTATCCAGGGAGCCCAACAGGCCCTGGCCACACAGAGCCCTTCATCCCCACTCACATGCCCCCCTCGCTCTCCACACTTGGACCAAACACACGGGCCTGGATGGCCTAGAACTGAGCTCTGTGACGCTCACAGTCACCCTACCTGCCTTACTGGATAGCTGCTCCAAGGACCACACTCCAGCCCAGCAGGTGGTCAGCAAGGTTCTGAAGCCCCACCCAGTGTGCTCTAACAAGACCCGCAGAGGCTTCCCAGCATAGGAGTCTGGGAAGCACTGGTGCAGTTTGTATAGAGGCTTCAGCTGGCTGCTGCCCCGTCGGTGGTGGCAAGCTACGTACACACCCGCCAAGGACAGAGGAGGCCCCAGCAACTGGGCACCAGCAACATGTAGGCGAGGGCTGGACGGACTACGGGAAATGACTGGAACAGACACCACAATCAGGACCAAGAGGAATTCAGAATACCAGAAAGCTAAATTACAAAACCCTTGTAGGGCCTCTCGTTCAAAACAGGACCCAAAATGTCTGAGTTCCACGCACACCGAGGGACAGAATCAGACCTGCTCTGCCACAGCCACGAGGCTGGGCCACACATGTGGGCTGCAGTTCCCCACATGCCGTCCGTTTCCTGACCCGCCTGCAGTGACAGCTAGGGTGCAGCAGACACAGCACATGCCTGACCGCACGGAGCAGCCTCGCAGGTCGCTCCAGAAACTTAAGATGGCAGACAATGAGAGCAGACAGCCTCGACTAGACTCTTCCAACTTGGGAATTTTAATACTTGAGAAAGGGGAATTTTCCTTGCAAATGGTGAGTTTTCTTGGAGATAAGAACAAAATATTGCAGCCTCGCAGGTCGCTCCAGAAACTTAAGATGGCAGACAATGAGAGCAGACAGCCTCGACTAGACTCTTCCAACTTGGGAATTTTAATCCTTGAGAAAGGGGAATTTTCCTTGCAAATGGTGAGTTTTCTTGGAGATAAGAACAAAATATTTTATCTTCCTACCAAAAAGAACCACTTCCAGTTGCTGAACTATTAGCTGGGACTCAGTGTGTGCAGGAGGCTCGCATGATCATCCTGCAGCCAGGAATAGAACCGCCTGGGACATGTGCAGTTGGCCCAATGGGGGGGCGAGGGCCTGGGGCAGCCGTGGCCAGAACCCCGCTCCACTGGCCAGATGGCATGGCCTCAAGACATGGTAGGACTTCACCACAGTGTGGGTGACCACTTCTTACCCAACTCCCATACCCACCCTGAGGAACGGCACCACCAGCACTGGATGATTGCTGAGGGGACTCGTCCGTATCACCAATGAGCACCACATACTCCCGACCTCCATATGAAGGCCCCCATGCCTGCATGGTGAGCGAGTGGACTCCAGGACAGAGCACTCACCTTCAGAGCATTGATAACGGTCTCAATGTGTGTTTTGACTGCCTCATGGGAGAACTCAGAGCTAGCCAGTGTGCACATGCTCTCCAGGGCCAGGTAGCGCAGGTTGGTCTCGCGGTGCTGCAGGAACTGGCCCAGCTGGTTACAGGCGCGGACAAGTAGGTTTGGCTCACTGCATGGATGGGAGAGAAGCAGGGTATAGTTTCCTCAGCACGTGTCACACAGGCCGGGGGACAGCAGGATGGCAGATGGCAAAGTCGCACCACAGTTACTATCACCACGTCACTAAAGGGAAACTTCAGGGGCCTCCTAAGACGTGGAGCCTTAAACTTAAATCCTGAGGTCAGTTTCACATCTACTCTGCTCATAACCACAATGAAAACCAGAAGCTCAAATGCCCAGTGGAGCTCTAATAATCACATCTGCAGAATTCCTCCAACTCCAAAGAGCTGACAAGAGAGGAGCCCACACAAGCCAACACGCCTGGCCTCAGCTCTGTACTGCACCAGCAGAGGCAGACACTCCACCTTCATCTGCCAGAGGCAGTCAGCCCAGCACAGTTGCATAGAGGCCCTGACAATGACAAGGCCAGGAAAAGGTCTGTGAACAGTGAAGGACCAATGACCAGAGAATTCAGGTTAATTCTTCACTTACTCTTTACCTTTTCATGATGTTGTTTCTCTTTAAATACATTTAATAAAGACAAAGGGTTTCACCTATGTTGGAAATTTCATTTTTAATACTCCCAACCCTGTTGAAGTGTCTCTCAGACTGAGTTTTTGTCACAGGAAACTATATTTTTAAAAAACACCGTGGTAGAAAATGACTGGTTTTAGCTAGCTGTAGAGAACATCTGTGCCAAGGCACTGTGTCTGCCACAGGCTGGCCTGCTCCACGTCATTGGGAGCCTGGTGGGTGTCAACAGCCCCACCTGTGAGGCACACTGTAGCTCTCACACCACGGGCAAGCCACATGCAGGGAGCACACTGTGGGATCTGAGAGAGGAGGCAGGGAAGCAGACCCTCCCAATGTCTACGTTACATCAAAAGACATGGTCAGCTCCACCAATTCCTCAGGATGACCTTGGGCAACACTGAGTGCGGCCCTGTGCCCCAGTGAAGCCAACAGGGCACATGCACCCACACACCCCCTTTCCTCTCCACATCATCACATGAGAAGTCAGGAGCAGATGCTCAGGGGAAACAGGAGAAGGCCCTCGGAAGATGAGACCCCAGCCTGCCAAGCAATGGGTGGGGAAATTCTGAGACCACAGTAAGGATGCCAGACCGGATAAGAGAGAAGAGGGATCTAGGGAGCACGTGGACAACTGGGAAGGACAGGGAGGCCACTCCAGAGTTTGTGGAATGGGTAAACCCTGACTGTTACACACTCGGTCTAATGCCAGGGAGAAGGAGGCAGGAACCTTCCACAGGCAGACAGCTCACCTGTCGTGGTGAATGATTAAGCTGATCGCCTCGAAGAGCACGGCATTCTTTGCATTCGAATGTTGGACTTTCTTTGACTTGGGTGGCTCCTGGGCTTTGTTCAGAATGGTCTCCAAGCACTCTGTCAGGCGGCCTCGAACTGCAGGGTCTTCTGGGCAACACAGAAAGTCATTGGCTGGGCTCTAGCAGCCCTCAGCCCCCCTGCCCCTAAGCTGCACCCCTCAGGGACAAGAAGCCCTCCTGACACACTGTCCAACTTGTGAACATTCTTAATACAGTCTATTCCTATTTGCACACAGGTAGGAGCATTTATAAAACTGTGTGAGAAAATGGTGGTAAGTACAGTGACCTCCCTTAACTCCAGCTTCGTTTTCCATGCTTTCAGTTACCCCTGCTCAACCACAGTCTAGTATTCATAAATAACTCATAAGCTTTAACGTGCATGCTGTTCTGAGTAGCAGGACAGAATCCATGCCTTCCTGCCTGGGATGTGAATCACCCCTTCATCCCACATGCCCACGGCGTGAACATTCCCCGCCCACCCATGAGGCACTTAGCACTTAGCAGCTGTCTCCACTACCAGCCAACTGCCACAGTGTCCACTGCTTATGCTCAAGTGACCCTGATTTTAACTTCATAACGACCCCAATGCACAAGAGCAGTGATGCTGGCGATTTGCATAAGTGCTTCCTTTAAGTGAAAATGTGAAAGCTCTCAACTCAATAGGGAAAGAAACATCACATGCCGGGGTTGCCGAACCTGCTATCTGTGAAACTGTGAGACAGGAAAAGAGATCTGTGCTGGTTTTGCTGTTATGCCTCAAGCAGCCCCAGTGCGTGGAAGTGTTCAGCTGAGATGGAAAAGGCACTGAATGTGTGGGTGGGACGCACGAGCAGAACACGCTCCAATAAAGGGCAATCGGGTTCAGCACTATACACAGTTTCAGGCATCTACTGGGGTCTTGGAAGGTGTACCCCACAGATAAGGGGAACCACTGTAACCCTATTCAAATGGTATAAGTAACACAGAACACATTTGCTGAGAAATAGATTATATAAGTGAAGAAAAAATAAAATCTCAGAGACATGAACAAAACACATAATAAAAATGTTTGAGGGAAAAGGGGACAAAAGATTTTTTTCTCTACCAACTATTACCAAAAGAAATAGAGAAAATGTTGTAAATAGAAATAAGGAGAGAAGAAAAAATTTTAAACTCCTACTTGAACCAGAAGAAAAGAAACAATGAAAAAGAGTAAGAAACCAATAAAAATACCAGAACATCAGAAATAATTCATGCAACATGTCTACCAAAAATACAACACCACATCCAGACTGCTGCAGCCAGCCATTCAGGATAGAGATAGTGTCCTGCCGAATCTTGTGGGGGTCAGACACAGAGGGCTCCACTGGAAACTGCACTGTACAAACTTTAACACTGAGACACGATGGGTGAGAGGGGTGGAGATTCCACAAACCCTATCACAGCAGAAATGGCCAAGAGGGCAAAAGAAACTCCAGACCAAAAGGGGGAGGAGGATAATGAAATTCACAAGGGTGGGCAAGTGGAAGGGGCCTGGGTCTGCGTCCCCCTAGACCTCAGAAGGAGTTAGGCCAGACATTCTAAGGAGGCAGGTCCAGTCCAACAGAAAGATCTGTTGCAGCCACTGGCCGAGAATGGGCTGCACCAGGCGGGGGCAGGGGCGTGAGGCCCCTCCCCCACTGACTCTGTGGCTGGCTGTGCAGTTCAATATGGTCAGCGTTTCTACTTCAGTTAAAAAGATTTACATATGAAGTTACTTAACTTTAACAAAGAAGATCCTATAAAAAAATCAATAAATGAATTAGATAAATAAATTAGATTGAAATTAAAGGTTAGAAAAACAGAGCAATCTTTTTAGAGGGTAACTTAAAATATCTGACAAAAAAAAATTTTGTGTGTGTGCTGGCTAGCACAGGGATTGAACCCTAGACCTTGGTGTCAGCAGCAAGTTAACTGAGCTAACAGGCCAGAATAAAATTTTAATACATATTCTTCAACCAAGAAATTCTATTTCTAGGTACTTTATCTTAGGAGTTGAATGTAATGTTTTCGGATGAAACATGAACATAAAGATATCTTTGACGTGTATATTAAGGGTATATAGATTATTAGAATTTTAGGATATAAAATTTCTGGTGGCTTCAAGTTTTATTTTAAAAGATTGTCTCAAAAAAAAAAAAAAAAACTGGGGCCAGCCCGTGGCTCACTCGGGAGAGTGTGGTGCTGATAACACCAAGGCCACGGGTTCGGATCCCATATAGGGATGGCCGGTTAACTCACTGGGTGATCGTGGTGCTGACAACACCAAGTCAAGGGTTAAGATCCCCTTACCAGTCATCTTTAAAAAAAAAAAAACTGCACAGATCTGTTATTATAAAAGCACAGATAAATCTAAATCTTAAAAAAATTGTGAGTTCTCTAATAACGATGCGAGACGGGGCCAACAGAAGGACCCATGAAACAAGAACCGGGCAAGTCACGCACTTCTCATAACAGAACTCAATCCCCTCTGGCCAGGTGCCGTTACCTGGGGGCGGGTAGCACTGTAGCAACCGCAGAAGCTTGACTGACAGCCAGGGAGCTGGGACAAAGTAGTACGTATAATCCTGCAGATCAGTTGATGCAGATGTCACGATCTGGAAGATAACAGGAGGTGGTGAGACGCCATCCAGCAAGGACCCCACTGAGGGGACCCAGAGAAAGCCATGTTCGTTCCTTAGGTCACACCTTAACTGGAAAAACAGTTCTGCTTAGTGTGCTAGGAACATTTAATGCTGTCACCTATCTCGTAGAGATAGTACAGCATGGACATGGCAGTCAGTGGGCGGTACTCACTATGCTCTAAAGCGCACACGCAGGTCAAGACTGCACACCAGCAACAGCTGAAGAGCCACCACCTCTTGGTACGGAATACCTCCATTTCCCTACCCTCTCCTCCTCCCCCTCCTCCTGCTCTGCAACATCTTAGAATGTAAAAAAAAATAAGAAATGAATTAATTTTTTTTTAAAAAACTGCCTAATACATGGTCAAATGATTTTTGACAAGGATGCTGAGAACATTCATTAGGGGAAGGACTGTCTCTTCAACAAAAGTGCTGGGAAAACTGGGTAGCCACATGCAAAAGAGTAGAGCTGGACCTCTACCTCACACCACATACGTAATAACTCAAACTGTATCAAAGACCTAATGTAAGACCCAAAACAACAAAACTCTTAGAAGAAAGAAAACACAGGGTAAAAGCTTCAGGACACTGGATTTGGGGATGATTGCTTGGATATGACACCAAAGGCACACACAACAAAAGAAAAAAAATAGAAAACTGGCACATCAAAAGACACTATCAGGTCAAGGGTTCCAATCCTGGTACCAGCCACAAAAAATAAAAACAAAAAAATGATCAATAGAGTTAAAAGGCAACCCACAGAATAGGAGAAAAAATTTTCAAATCATATATCTGATAAGAGATTAACATCCTGAACTCCTAAAACTCAACAACAAGAAAATAATCAGGGCTGCCTGGTTAGCTCACTTGGTAGAGAGTGGTGCTGATAACACTGAAGTCAAAGGCTTGGATGCCTGTATCAGCCAGCTGCCCGAAAAATCCAAAAACCAAAAAACAGTCAAACTAATTGAAAAATGGGAGAAAAACTTGAATAACATTTCTCCAAAGAAGATATACAATGGCCAGGAAGCACATGAAAAGACATTCAACATAACTAATCATTAGGGAAACAAAAATCAAAACCACAATGAGATACCACCTCATACCTAGGATGGCTACTATCAAAAACCAGAAAATAACGAGTGTTGGAGAGGATGTGGAGAAACTGGAGCCTTGTGCACTGCTGGTGAGAATGTACAATGGTACAGCCACTGTGGAAGACAGTGTGGCAGTTCCTCAAAAAATTAAAGATACTACCACATGATGTAGCAATTCTACTTCTGGGACTCGGAGAAGGCTGGCTCGTTGGCTCAGCTGGTTAGCATGCCACCTTGTGGCACCAAAGGTCAAGGGTTCAGATCTCCATACTGGCCAGCCACAAAAAAGAAAAAACAAAGAAAGAAAACAGGGACTCAAAGAGATATTTGGACACCCAGGCCCAGGTTCACAGCAGCATTATTCACAACTGCCAAAAAGTAGCAGCAGCCTATGTGTCCACGAACGGATGAAGTGATAAGCAAAATGGCCTACAGTAGAGATCACTGTGCTGAGTGCAACAAGCCAGTCACAAAAAGACAAATGCTGTGTGATTCCTCCCCTGTGAGGAACCTGGAGTCGTCAAATTCAGAGAGACAGAGAGTAAACTGGTGTTTGTCAGGGGCTGGGGAGAGAGAGAAATGCGGAGCTGGTGTTTAATGGGGACAGAGCTTCAGTCTGGGAAGATGAAAGAATTCTGGAGATGGATGGTGGCGATGGCTGCACAACAATGTGAATGTGCTTAATGCCACTGATCTGTGCACTTAAAAATGGTTAAGATGATAAATTTTATGTCTGTGGATTTTAAGCATAGTAAAAAAAATTGAAAAAAATCAGTTTTATAAACATACAGAAATGAAAAATAAAAATTTTAAGGTATTGAGACTAGCATTTTAAAAATAAAATATATAAAAATAAATCTAACAAAATATAAACAGAACCTCTATTCAAAAAGTTACCCCAAAAAAGTTATAAAACGTTACAGAGAAAAACTAAAGACTATCTAAATATATGAGATATATAATGTCCATGGATTGTAAATTGAAAGACTCTATAGTAAAGATTTTAATTCTCTTGAAACCGATCTACAGATTAAAAGCAATCCCAACCAAAATCCCAACAGGATTTTAGGGGCAGGAAAAAAGGTGTGAGGACTCGCTCTCCGTGACATCCGACTTCTGCTGAAACTCCAGTAACTGAGACCATGTGTCGCTGGTGCAGGGACACACACAGAGACTGACAGAGGTGCAAGCCAGGCCACAACAGGTGGCACTGCAGGCAGAGTGGGCCCTTAACTACAGCACCAGGACAGGGGGATGTCTCCTGCACACACAGACACCAGTGCCGGGTAGGCTTTCAATCTTGGTGTGAGACCTCAGAAGAGGGAAAGACTCCATGAAAAGGCCACCAAAAGCACCGATCACAAAGGAGAGGATGAGTGAGCCTAACAACATCAAAGTGCAGAACTTCTGGCCATGGGACACATCACTGAGAGAGCAGCACGCCAAATGACAGAGTGAGCAAGGCTTTAAACACAAATTAGGCTGAACCATATAAAGTTGCCATTTCTGAAAACCAATAATGGTTAAATGTTGGCAATTGGTATGATCCAAGTTAATATAACCAACATAGTACTCATCTAAAATGTACAAAGAATTTCTATAAAACCACAAAAAAGACAACCCTGTAGAAAAATAGGCAGAAGACTTAGGCACTTCACAAAAAAAGAAATCCAAATAGCCAATCAACACGCTAAGTTGCTCACCCTCATTGATAATCAGGAAGATGAAGATTTAAATCACAATGAGATCACTACTATATATCCATATACTATTTATCCATATCCATTATATACTATTTAAATCACTACTATATATCCAGAATGGTGAACATCTAAGACACCACCACTGCCTGCGGGCCAAGGCGTGGAGCAGTGGAACTTGTCCACACTGCTAGCAGCTATGCCAGCTGGAAGCTGCAGCACTGCCTCCTCAGTGGAAGCACTGCCACTGTGACCCACGATGCCCCCTCTAGGATGTGCCACCAGCACTGCAGGAGCATGTAAACAAGAGACATCCTAAGACTGATCACAGCAAGTTACAACAGCCCCAGAGTGTACAGGAGTGTGTTTAACAACAGACAATGGATAAACAGTGTTCACTTGAATTCTATACAGCATCAAAAACACATGAATGACAGGGGCCGGCCCAGTGGCGCACTGGATAGTGCGCCGCTTGGGAAGTGTGGCGGCGCTCCCGCCCAAGGGTTCGGATCCCACATACAGACCGGTTCCCGCACACTGGCTGAGCGAGGCGCGGGAGCAGCGCCGAGGGTTGCAATCCCGTTGCCGGTCCCCGGTCCGGTGCGGGGGCGACACTGAGGGTTGCAATCCGTTGCCGGACACGGAAAAAGACAAAA